CAGGGATGATTACTTGTCTTGGTGGATCCAGAGGTCTTGATGTAGTATTCTCCTGTTGTTGCTTATTCCTCCTAGGTCCTGATATGTTATCTGTGTTCTCTATAGGGTTCTCCTCACTTTGAGGGACAGTTTTTTTAGTAGGGGTTCTCCTCCTTGGGGATCCTTGTAGCTGACAGATATTTCTCTTTTTTGTACTTGCACCAGGTAAGGTTCTAGGGCTACTGGTTCCTGGTTTCGTTGTTGGTGGTCTTCCCCTGCGTTTTTTTGGGGGGTTTTTATTTTTGCTAAGTCATTGTTCCCTAGCTGAGGCAAGTCTGGAGATTGTTCAGCAGTTACTTGGATTTCTTTTTGGAGACTGGCTTGGTAAGTAGCTTCAGCAGCTTCCCTAATATTTGCAGCTGTGGTTGCCATTAGTCCTCTAGTTTCTCCTTTAGTTACTCTAGCTCTTCTTGCTGCACTTTCAGTAGGATCTGGACAGTACTAGTACTATATTGTAACTTCTCTAAATTCCTTCATGATCTCTTCTGTGCTAGGAATAAGAGGGTTTTGGGGTGGGAAACTCTCTTTGTCCAGGTTTCTCTCAAGGGGGGGTCTCCTGCTTCTTGAGGACTCAGTGGATTCGCGTCTGTTATTATCAGCAGGAGGTTGCTTTTCTCTCCATTGCATTTGGGGAGGGCCTTGGGTGGGAGAATCTCTCTGTGAGATGTTTTCAGGTGATTTGTTTCTCCTCTTGAAGTATATTCCATGCTTCTTTCTCTTCTGTATGAACGTGATTCAAAGGTTGGCATTCCTAGCCAAAATTCATCTTTTTGAGCTGGTTCTCTGATCCTTTGGTCTCTTGTATTCTCTCCAGGTGCTTGTAGAGATTGTTTGGAGGAGACTCTTTCACCAAAGGGCCGGCCATATCTATCTCTTCTTTGGGAGAAAGTTCTTGCAGGTTTAGGGGAGAGAATGTGCCTTTGTCTTTGTCTGTCCCTGTGTGGTGGAGATGGATGTATCCTTTCATGTGAAATTGGAGGGTCTGGCCTCTCTCCTCTGGTGATTTCATTTTTCTCTGGGCAATCTTCTGCAGTGTTTGAGTAGTTGACATCTTCTGCAGTGTTTCCCTAGCCTCTCATATTCCAGGTGAACGAGGCATTCCTCATCCTTAGAGAATTCAGTGATTGTTTCTCTTAGTAATGGTTTTAGGCCATTAACAGTTACTCTTACTTTTGCAGCCGTCTTTGTTATTGTGAGGCCGTCGAAAGATCCAATAGCCCTGCCAATCCTTGCAATCATTTCTTCCTT